TCCTTCTTCGTCCTCCTCCTCCTCTCCTCCTCCTCCATCTCCTCCTCCTCCTCCTCCCTCCTCCTCCTCCTCCTCCTCCTCCTCCTCCCCATCCTCCCTCATCCTCCTACCTCCTCCTCCTTCCTCCTCCTCTTCCCCCCTTCTTCTCCTCATCCCCTTCGTCCTCCCCCTCCTCCTCCTCCTCCTCCTCCTCCTCCTCCTCCTCATCGTTGTTCTCTCCTCCTCCTCCTCCTCCTCCTCATCATCATCATCATCATCATCATCATTCCTCCGCCCCCTCCTTCTCCTTCTCCTCCGCCCCCTCCTCCTCCTCCTCCTTCTCCTCCTCCTCCATTCCTTTTCCTTATGAGTACTCCCTCCCTGTCGCACCCAGTGGCTGGTCCAAAGAACGGCCCAGACGTTGCGCCGAATACTTCCTCACTGTGTATGACCCTGGAGTGTAGATGTTGGCGACAAGTTCATAGATGGAGGGCGGGCCGCTTCCAAAATGTGGCTCTCGCCTTAGCACCGCACGCATTTGATTTAGAGATTTGCAAGCGTTTCAAGGGTTGAGGGCGGCTCTTTTTTTCAAAATGTGGCACTCGCCTTTGCAACGAGCACATGTGTTTCAAACATTTGCCAGAGTTCCACGGATCGGGGACGGATCGTCTTCAACATGTGGCACGCGCTTGAGCGCCGCGCGCATTCCTCTAGAATATTTGCAAGAGCGCTCCACGGATAGAGGACGGGTAGTTTTCTAAATGCGGTTCCCGCCTTCACGCCGCACACACTCGTCTTGGACATGTGCAAGAGCTCGCATACTGAGGGTGGGTGGTTCTCGCTTCAGCGCCGCGCGCACTTGTTCTAAGCCTCTGCAGGAACTTCACGAATTTCCATAGTGAACGTGCCAGATGTAGTTCAGTGTTCCACACGTCTTTGAATCCCTAGTTGTCGCTGCCCTGCCGTCCATCCATGGCTGTTTGCTCAAAGTCTTTTTCCAGGGCATGAAGGAGGCCCTGCGACCACTCGTCGAGGCCAGCGCCTCGGGTATCCGCGAGATTGCTCGCGCGGGCTTCCACGCTGGCGCATCGTGGGCGCTGCTGCCCAGCTGCCCTGCGGCGCCCCCCTGCCCGCCGTACCCGCCCTGCCCCGCGTGCTTCTGCACGTGCGGGGAGGGAGGCGGGGGCGGCGGGGCTCCGGCTGGCGGGGGCGGCGGGGGAGGCAGCCCTCCCTGGTTGGCGGCCGGGGGCGGGCCGGTGTGTGACGCGGTCGCCGACGCGGTCGTGGGGGCGCTGCGCGAGGCGGTGGAAGGCTGTGTCGGCGGGGGAGCCGCGATAGGACTGGTGCTGCTCGCGCTGCTCGCGGGGTTCGGACTCGGACGCCTCAGCCGCGCCGCGTCAGCTCACCTTGAGCCTCGCGATGGCGCTGGTGCCCAGGGGATCCTCGCGGCGGCTTCTCCCGGGCTGCAGAGCGGTGGTGCGCTACGCAGGGGACGACCTCTGGCACGAGCGGATCCTGCTGTACCCAGCAGCCAGTGAGACTGCTGGCGCCGGGCTTCCAGGAACCTGCTGGGTGGTGTACACCCCCGATCGTGACATGTACATCGAGGAGCTTGAAGGAGGGTCGCCCGACGACAGCCCCGTCGAGTGGCTGGAGATGCCGCGGGACTTGCGGCTTCCCAGTGGGCTTGGGCGGGCGTATCGCTTCGAGGAGTCGCCGACGGAGGAGGTGATGAAGGGCCTCTATCGTCGGGCCTTCTCGGCCGCCCAAGCCGATGCGGAGGCGCGCGGGGTGCAGCTGGAGACGCCGATGGCGGTGCGAACTGCAGCGGGGCGAGACGTGGCCGTGCAGGAGGCGCTCGGGGCCAACTTCTTCGGGGGCCGACGGATGACGGGCAAGAGACCTCCTCTTGGTCTGGACCTCGGAGGCGACCACGGGGGACACTCTGGATCGGTTGCGGCGGCCGCGGAGGGCGTCGGCGACAGCGGCGCCCCGGGGCCTGCGGTTGAGGGGACCAGCACGCCGCGGTCGAGCGGCCGTGCATGGCGAGCAGCCGAGGCCGACGAGCATTGCCGCATCGCTCTGGGAGACGAGTTGGGGCCTCCAGCGCAGTCTCTCTGCGGCAAGGGGCTGTACCTCGCAGCGCCCGGGCGAGCCGTGGTGGTGCACCTGACGGGGCTCGACCAGGACTCCTTCGTGATGAGCCTGCGCAGTGGCGAGGGCCACCCCTTGAGCGCTGGCGCCGGGAACGGGGGAGGAGGAGATGCCCGAACACTGACGGTGAAGAGTGGGCCGCGGGGCCGAGGCCGAGAGTGGCGCGAGGTCGTGGACGCCTGCGAGGAGGAGCCGTTTGGTGACTTCCCCGTGGCAGGGCCTCGGTCAGCTTGGTGGTGCTTGGATTTCTTGCGGCGGCGGCACACCCCTACGGATCATCATCTGATGTTCAAGACGACGGCGAGGCTCCAGTCGGAGCAGTGGGGGGTGCAGGAGCATGAGCAGCTCATGAAGTATATCGAGCTGG